TGGGGCCCCGTTTCACTGGTAAAAGTGCTTACTGCCGAGACAGCGAGAACTGATCCCACAAGTTAGGCTGTCCCCAGATCAACATGAATGCATGCATGCTCTGGCATGTGCATGTACACACGTACTCTCTCTAAATAAACAAATGAATGCAAAAGTATAAAAAAAAAAACAAGAAGGCTCCAGGAACAGTTGGATAGAAAGGCCTCCACTTTGAAATATGAATACCATTTTAGCTGCAATATCCGTTTCAGCTCTAACTGATATTCTAATTTAATTTCTGAGATCTTACCGACTGTTTTAAGGACTATTACTATAAGACACCAACAAGGATGTGAGGTGAAGGCTGGTGAGGTGGCTCAAGGTGTGAAGTCACCTGTCACCAAACCTGCTACCCTGAGTTTGATCCCTGACATCCACATGATAGCGATAACCTATTCTACACAGGCTGTCATCTGATCTCCACATACATGATGTTTACATGTACATACAGAGCCACACCCACAAAAAGTAATAAACTTGAAAAAAACAAAATGTGAGGTGAATTCTATGCAGAAAATGTTCAATTCCAGATGAAGAATAGAAAAGTGGTTTAATATATAGGTAATGACGTGCCAGTTTAAAATGGTAACTTTATTATTTGTTACATACCTGTTTATTATGTCTCATCTATGGTCATTCTCAGCAGAGACTCAGCCCAATGCTTGTAGCCTGTAACCTGCAGTCTGAGGAGTTACCCCTTAGGCACCTCTGCTCAGGTAAAACTGGGTCCTGGACTAGATGAAGCAGATGGAAAGTTGGTAAGTTTATTAAGAAGGTAGTGGTGGCACATGCTGTTAATCCCAGCACTCGGGATGCAGGAACAAACATCTCTGTGAGTTCAAGGCCAGCCTGGTCTACAGAGTGAGTTCCAGGACAGCCACAGCTACACAGGAAACCCTTTCTCAAAAAAAAAAAAAAAAAAAAAGAAAGAAAGAAAAAAGAAAAGAAAAAGATTTTTGATTGATGTGATAGAATATCAATTTAGCCATCCTGTGGTGCACTGTTCAGGTGTTGTTATGAAAAGAACATTGATATGGTTGACAAGCTTCAAATGCAAAGGCCTTGTGTCTCTCTCTAATCAAGCACAGGCTACTTGTTTTTAACTCTTGTTGGAGAGTCTCTTAGAAAAGGGAGTATTTGTAGAAGTGATTTTTCTTTTTCGTTTTTGTTTTCCCGAGGCAGGTTTCTTTGTATAGCCCTGGCTGTCTTGGAACTTGCTCTGTAGACCAGGCTGGCCTTGAACTCACAGAGATCTGCCTGCTTCTGCCTTCCAAGCGTTGGGATTAAAGGTGTGCACCACCATTGGCAGGAATTATTTTTCTAAAAAAAAAAATGTTTGTTAATAACGTGCCTTTACAAATTGAACTTTCTCTCAACCTGTAACCAAGTTAGTAAGTAATGTTCTTTCAGATCACCTGGAGCTATGGACTCATTCAGCTTACATACTGTTATAAATTAATTGACCTTTAAGAAAAAAAACTGTAATAAAGCCAGGCATGGTAGCCAGCACTCGGGAGGTAGAGGCAGGTGATCTCAGAGTTCGAGGCCAGCCTGGTTTACAGAGTTTCAAGACAGCCATAACTACACAGAAAAACCTGTCTGAAAAACAAAATAAAAACAACTGTAATCAATCCTACTATAGGCCGGGCAGTGGTGGTGTACGCCTTTAATCCCAGCACTCTGGAGGCAGAGGCAGGCAGATCTCTGTGAGTTCGAGGCCAGCCTGGACTACCAAGTGAGTCCCAGGAAAGGCGCAAAGCTACACAGAGAAACCCTGTCTCGAAAAACCAAGAAAAAAAAAAAATCAATCCTACTATGCTTTGGACTCCTGAAAGCATAGCTTTGCATTTCTCCTCTGCGACTTATCACATGCCCCCTAACTCAGAATTATGTATGTGTGCATAAGGTGGGGTGACTGTTATTCTCCAGGCATTGAAAGCAAAGTTCACCCACAAAATACATTAAAAACAACATGTAGGCATACATTGATAACATCTGATTGTGCCTTTGTGTGATGTTCTCAGTCAACAGAGTCAGAAAAACAAATTTTCCTATTATGAAACTCCTGTAAAAGACTGACTAAAAAAAAGGTACCTCATTCTCTCAACAATACAGATGCCTAAACGAGACTGAAGAAACACAACACTACTAGACATACTAACATGGAAGGGGAAATCTAATGGGCCACACCCCTAAACAAAGGACCTAAAGACAACTAAGGGGTGCTGAGATTGGGATATGAGCCTTCTAGTTGATTATCCAATACCAAGTGGTCAGCCCTGAAATCCTGTATACCTGTAACATTAAATAGACTCAGGTTTACAGATGTGTGTGTGTGTGTGTGTGTGTGTGTGTGTGTGTGTAACAATAACGAAAAAGATGTTAAAGATGTTATGACATTGAGAGTGAGCCAGGGGTACATGGTAGGGCCTGGGGGAAGGAAAGGAAAGAGGGAAAATGATATATTTTAATTTTAAAAGCACTTATAAGGCAGACATAGGCGGATATCTGTAAGTTCAAGGCCAGCCTGGTGTACAATGTGAGTTCCAGGGCAGCCAGGGCAGTGACACAGAGAAATCTGGTCTCAAAAACAAACAAAAAGCCAGGTGTTGGTGGTGCACACCTTTGATCCCAGCACTTGGGAGGCAGAGATAGGCGGATCTCTGTGAGTTCGAGGCCAGCCTGGCCTATGGAGTGAGTTCCAGGACAGGCTCCAAAGCTACAGAGAAACCCTGTCTCAAAAAACCAAAACCAAAACAAAACAAAACAAAAAAACAAAAATCAATAAATTTTCCATTTCTTCATTCCTTTCCATTCTACATTTGTTGTGTAATTCAATAGAGAGAATGGCATGTGTTGTAGAGATCTGAACTCTTTACAAAAACTCAGACTCATTCTTGAGTAACCAACACCATGGGTTTTTCTTTTATGTGGCACTGCTTCCTCAAATATTATCTTAGTAGGCAATTTTGACTCTTTTAGTTGTGTTAAAGTGTGTTGTTTTTGTTATTGTCTGTTTGTTTTTGAGAGAGGGTCTGCTGTAGCCCAGGCTGGCTTAAAAGTTTATATGTAGACCAGGCTGGCCTTCAATTTAGTGATTCTCCTGCCTCTGCCTTCTGACTATTGGGATTTTAGGCATGTCCCACCATACCAGGTCCAACTGAAGTTCTTGTTTGTTTTTATCGAGCCAGCAGAAACCAAACTAGATTCTGAGGTGTGCTGGCTGGTTTTATGTCAGCGGCACACAAGCTAGAGTCACGTGATCGCAGGACCCTCAACTGAGAAAATGCCTCCATAGGATCAGGCTGTAGGCAAGCCTGTAGAGTGTTTTCCTAATCAGTGATTGAGGGCAGAGAGTAGTGATGTCTTCCCTGGGCTGCTGGGCCTGGGTCTATAAGAAAGCAGGCTGAGTAAGCCGTGAAGAACAACCCAACAAGCAACACCCCTCCGTGGCCTCTGGGTCAGCTCCTGCCTCCAGGTTCCTGCCCAGTTTGCGTTCCTGCCTTGGCTTTCTCAATGGATGTGTAAGCCAAATAAGCCCTTTCCCTCCCCAAATTGCTTCCGGTCATGATGTGTCAATCACAGCAGCAGAAACCCTAACTAAGCCGTGGAGTGAGGGGCTTCTTTCTTTTGCCATGACCCTTTAATTTTCCTTGTCTTTCTAGCCTGCCCTACTAGCCTGTGAGCTTGTCTGTCTTCCATCTCTGGGGCAATGCTGACACACATTAGCCACTCTGTAAATCCTTGCAGGGTGAATGTACTTCATTGGCTGGAAGAATCCTGCAGGATCTGTCACACTTCTTAACAATCTTCTGCTAACTACACCTAGCACGTGTCCTACTTTGCTTTCTGTTGTGATTACGACTATGACCAAAGCCACCCCTGGAAGAAAGGTTTGTTTCACTTACATGTCCCATCCCAGCATCCCAGTCTATCACTAAGGGAAGGCAAGGCAGGAACTCACTCAGAAACCTGGAGGCAGAAACTGAAACAATGGTAGTGGAGGAATGTTACCAGCTTGTTCCCCTGGCTCGCATTTTAAATATTTAAATTTAAATCCAACTACCTTTTAAATACTTCTCAGGACCACCCGTGTAGCATCCCCCACAGTGGACTGGGCTATCCCCTATCAATCATTAATCAAGAAAATACAAATGTACACTCAGGAGGCAGAGACGGGTGGATCTCTGTGAGTTTTCCAGACAAGTCTGTTTGTACACAGCAAGTTTCAGGTAAACTAGGGCTCTATAGTGAGACACAAAAGCCCACCCACCACAGACTTGCCCATAGGCCAGTCTGATAGAGATGTTTTCAATGGAGGTTTCCTCTTCATACATGACGCTACTTTGTGTCAAGCTCACAAAAAACTAACCAGCATTCACAAATTTTCTTAGAGTTGCCATCATGAGCCAACAAGAAAGTAAATTGTAACTTTATTTATTTATTTGTTTGTTTTTCAAGACAGGGTTTCTTTGTGCAACCCTGGCTGTCCTGAGAACTCAGAGATCCCCTTACCTCTGCCTCCTAAGTGCTGGGACTAAAGGCATGTGCCACCACCTACAGGCTGTAAACTAGGACTTTAAAAAAATATTTCTGAGGGAGCACATGTGCATCCAGAGGCCAAAGGTCAACAGTTGGTGCCTTCCTCTTGCTCTCACTTTATTTTTAAATAATTTTTCGACAATTTTATACTTGCATATGTTTTTTTTTTTTGTTTTTTTGTTTTTGGTTTTTCGAGACAGGGTTTCTCTGACATATAATGTATTTTGATCATATTCACCTCTCACTCCCATCTGTTATTCCTTTCCAGCTCCCTCAGGAACGGGAACTCTCACTTTATTTATTTATTCATTTCTTTTTTTCAAGACAGGGTTTCTCTGTGTAGTTTTGGTTCCTTCCTGGAACTCACTCTGTAGACCAGGCTGGCCTCGAACTCACAGAGATCTGCCTGCCTCTGCCTCCCGAGTGCTGGCTGGGATTAAAGGCGTGCGCCACCACTGCCCGGCTTCTCACTTTATTTTTTGAGACAGAGTCTCTCGTGGAACATGAGGCTTACCAATTTGGCAAGACTCTCTGGTCAGCAAGCCCCAGGGGTCCTTCTATCTGCCTCTTGATTGATATCATAGGTCTGGCAGCAGCTGGCTTTTTTATTTTATTTTATTTTTTTATTATACCCGAGTGTCTGTGTCCCTGTGGGTATGTGCACCTGTCTCTGGGGCTGGGTTTACAGGCGGCTGTAAGCGCCCCGAGGCAGGTGCTGGGAACTGTACTAGGTTCCCTACCAGAGCAGTACTCACTCTTAACCACTGAGATATCACTCCAGCGTCAACACTTGGCTCTTCACTTGGGCACTAGGGAGCTGAACTGAGGTCGTCGTGTTTGCATGGTAAACGCTTTGCCCACTGAGCCATCTCCTCAGACCTATGGCATTTTAATGTGCTGTCACAGTTTCCTAATGACTTTTCCCACGAGGTACAGTCAAGCACTCCATGACGTCCCTTGGCCGAGGACTGACTTCATGTAGGGTGGTCCCGTATTATAATATAATACTGATGTCGCCAGCGTAGCTCCTGTAAGTATACAATGACGTGGCAGAACAAATCTTGCCTAATACATTTCAGAGCATATCACCACCCGTGAGAGACAGGTAATGGTGCCTGGCTTTCCCCCTTTTCTGATTTCAGGCTTAAGATGGTCTTGAAGAAGCAAAAGAAATAAAAAAAAAAAAAAAAAAGGAAAAATAAATAAATAAAACAACCCTTCACACTTAAAGTGAGTGTGCCAGGAATCACGATTCCTGGAGGCCAAGCAAGAGGATCACTCTAAGTTCAAGGCCAGTCTGACCTCTACAGAGAGAGTTCCAATCAGCCGCCCCTACACAGCCAAATTTTGTCTCAAAAAACTTGCGGGGGCAGGCTAGATAATTTTACTTTTCAAAAAATGTGTACAAGTGTCTGTAATGATGCCACATGTGTGCTGGGACTCGCGGAGGCCAGAACGTGGTCTCCTGGTGCTAGAGTTCCAGGCAGCTTTGAGTCACTGATGTAGGTCCTGGGGACTGAACGCCTGAGCCCTCTCTCCAAGCGTCAATTTTACTCGTTTTATGCATTTGTAAGGACTGGGGACATAGTGCATTGGTAGGGTGCTTATCTACCAGACACAAGGCTGAGTTCAATCTCTAGTGCCACATACACACACGCAAATGCACACCTACACACATTTCTACTTTGCATACGCCTTACTATGTTTCATGCAAACACTCTCCCTTCTAGAATTTGGTTGGAAAGTTTTCCTGGAAAATACGCCCTTAGGCGTGGGCGCCAGGGTTCTCTAGCCAGGGACGCAGCGGGAGACACTGGTCCAGTCATGATGGAACTCAGCATCCTGAAGGCGTTCCCTTCCCAGACCCCGCGCCATCGGGGTGGGACGTGACTAAACTCTGGGCAGCTGTCTGGAGGGCGCGGCGGACCCAGGGGCCTGAAGGGTGTGGGAGGCCCGCAGAGATCAGAGAGGGATGAGAACCCAGGCCCAGGCTCCAGGATGAGGCTCAGGCCGGAAAACCAGAGGATCTTCCTGTGGGCTCGGCCCGCAACGCGCCCTGTGCTCCACGTCCACGGGTGGCTCACTGGGCACGCGCGAACCTTCCCCATCCCAGAGTCCAAGGACCAAGGGGCAGAGAAGGAACAAGGACCACGACGCCCCGGGCCAAGAGCATTGGAGGGACCCACGGCGCACGCAGCCACGCCCAGCGGGGCCGGGGGCGGGGCCGGTGAGCTGGCTCGAGCCGATTCGCCCGTCTCCACAGGGGGCGTGGCCACACGGTTCGGGCCCCGCCCCTTAGGCCGCCCTGGGTCCTGAAGGAAGTAGAGGCCTGCCCCGGGGCCTGGCGCGGAGGGAGGCGGGGCCGGGGCCGTGCGGGGCGGTGGCTGGGTTCAGAGTCCCGGGAGGCCTGGGGCTGCGGGGGGAATGAAGCCTCCGCCTTCCCCGGCAGAAGCATTTAAATACGGCCGCGGGCCCCGGATCCGGGCAGCGCTGTGTGGAGCCTGCGGCTTGGGAGCAAGGTGCCGTCCGAGAGAACGGGATCCGAGCGGCAGCCGGCCTTGGGTAAGCGCGGTTCCCCGCGGGATGTCCCCCTTCCCGCGGTCGGGGTGTGCGCGCGGTCCCGGTCGCTCCCGGCTCGCGGCGGGGCTGCCCACCGCACCATCCTGGTCCCCCCTCCTTCTCGGGCCTGGCGGGAATCAGGTCCTGCGCTTGCTTGCAGGAGGTCGGAGGAGCAGGGCTTTGGATTTGCAACTCGTGCGTCTTTACGCCCGTTCCCATTTTTTCCCCCCCACTTTCCGATTTGAAGCCAAGGAGATTTTCCCGCCGCTTCGGAAAGCCAAACGCCCCCCAGCTCCCCCGAAGGAAGGGATCCTCTCCTTGGGGCCTCACGGGCGGCTCACAGTCCTAGGCTTTGTTGGGGATTAGACTCTGCTCACCTGGGGGTCCTCTGCTCTCCTCTGGTCGCCCCTAAGAGGAGAAAGCAAATCCCACTGAAGACGAAACCCTAAGGCAAATTTCCTAGTACCTTAGGGGGCTTCTGCAGTCCATCGTTGGCCGAGGCATATGCTTGGATGTTCTACTTGATGCCAGGGAAGGCCTTTCTTGGGGGCTTCAGAGATCATGTTTTTCGTGAGATCTTGAACATCTTGACGTCCTACGTGTAAGAGAATTGAGTAGGGTTGGGAAATCTGGCATAGAGAAAGGAGGGGCTCGCTGGGAGAGAGCTCATACATGGGATACACAGAGGACTGACTGTTCGTCCACTCACCTCAAAGGCCAGTCTTTGAGTTTTTTCAAATCCCCTAAGAGATGGAGAACAGTAGTCTGGTCTGTTTCTTCTGAGGGGCTCTGGACTTGAAAGAGCCGAGTGTTTCTGCTCAGGCGTGCTTTTGCGTACTCAGTCTTAGCTGAATGCTACGCAACCCTGGTTTGGAAAACAGCTTATTCCCCCCCCCCCCCTTCATCTTTGTACTGCTTTCTCTGTCATAAAATCTCTAACCACTAGGCATGCTCCATCTTTCCCCGGATTTCCACAGTAAAATTAAGTCTTTTATAATAGTTTTTTTTTCCCCCTTGGATCAGGCGTGTTTTAAGCGTGTGTCCAGAAATGACTGAGATGAGTGAGGGTGGTGTATCCCGCTGTCTATCATAGCTGCTGTTTAGTTCGCAGTAGCTGTGAAGAAGGGCGGCAGATAGATTATACTCGGTTCAGATTGCAGCATAGGACATTTGCTGACTGTTAGTGACATCTCGCAGGTTGAAATGTTTATCTGAATTTATCAGATTTTTACATGAACGGTAGTTTCAGGTCGGCGTGGTGAATTGTGATTCCCAGAACCCAGAGGTGAGAACTCATTTCAGAGTGACCTACTCGGTGAGCAGACAGGCCCACTTTTCCTGTCAGCACCGTGAGGGCCAGAGGGGGAAGACAAGTAGCAATGGGACATGGTGAGGTGAGCCTGCCATTGAACGCACTTGCCGGACAACCTTGAGCTGGATCCCCAGACCCACAGAGAAAGGAGAACCTAGACCCCAGGAGTGCCCTCTGACCTCACACATATGCATGCTGCACACTTCATACACACAAAACAAAACACTAAAATTATGAAAAATGAGAACAGAATCAGAAAGCATCCGTGTCATAGAAACTATTGACAACATTGTATCAAGCTCCGCGTTAAAGTTTATTGAGGATTTTATTGAAACTTCCAAGTGACTTCATTTGATTTGCGTTGGTTGTGCACCCAACCTCAGTATTCTCCACCCATTGTCATGTATGAGCTGCCCTTCACTTGAAAACTAGCCCGACAAGGATACCCAAGATGAAGACCACCTCACCAAGTAGCTGTGTGTAGTGGCTCCCGCCTCTAATCACAGTTCCCAGGAGGCTGGGGCAATAGGGTCACCACCATTTCCAGGCTAGCCTGGGCTCAGAGTGAAACCTTACTGAGAGAGAGAGAGAGAGAGAGAGAGAGAGAGGAGAGAGGAGAGAGAGAAGTGGGTGTGTGTGGAGAGGAGAGAAGAAGGAGGAAGAGGAGGAGAGAAAACACAAAACAAAACAAAACAGAGCTTATCCCGTTCTACAGTACAGTACTGCCGTCAGTGACTGCTGTTTGGAAAGAAACCTGAATTCCAGTCCTGAAATAAAGGCGGGTAAGGGGTAACTTGAGGACTAGGGGCTGTAACGCAGGGGTGGGTGCTTACCTGAGATGCTTGAGACCCTGGATTTAATCCCCAGCACTATAAAAAACAAACAAGTAACGTTAGAGGTGACTGGGGAAAATCTGATGTCATCCTTTAGGTGGCTAAATAAGGTAGCAGTCTGTTCACTGCAATATCAGCCATCTTAACTAAACCTACGAAATATGAAGTCGTAATCCTAGAGTCCCAGGGAGACAGTTATTCAATACACACCAAGGGATTTTCATACCAGGTGTTGAAGGTACAGTGGCCTTGGTGCTAGAGAGATGCCTCGGTGGTTAAAGACCGCTTGTTCCTCTTGCAGAAGACAAGGGTTCAGTTCCCAGCACTCACAATGAAAACAACCTTAAAGTTGTTTTCATTGCTACTTCATAACTGTAATTTTGCTACAATTATTAATTGTAATGGAAATATTTTTTGGAGCTAGGTTTGCCAAAGGGGTCATGACCCACACAGGTTGAGGACCATTGGTCTATACCATCTACATGCCTAGTACCTGTGGTCAGAAGAAAGCATCAGATCCCCTGAAACTGGAGTTATGGATGGTTGTGAACCTTTATGTGGTGCTAGGGATTGAACCTAGGTCCTTTGGAACAGTAAGTAACCACTGAGCCGTCTCTCCAGCCCTTGGGTGGATGTCTTACATGTGGTAGTCCTGGTGAACCTTGTAGATAAACCTATTGACCCAGAGTTAACTAGGCTTTAGATGTTGATTTATGATAATGTGGCTTATAAAGAGACTGAGCAGATACACTACAGTGGAACTTTGCTATCACAGTAGAGGGTTTTATTGCAGAGCCTGGAAGACAGTGGCCCCTTGGTAGCTCTGGGAGATTGGCTCCAGGACTACCGCAAATGCCCAGATCTGAGAATCAATCAGACAAACAAAATGGTGCAGTATTTATCTGTCTAGAGCCTATGCATGTCCTCCTGTGTACTTTAAGTCATCTCTAGGTTACATATGATATCTAATAGAACTGAGCATGGCACATACCTATAATCCTAGCATTGTAGAGGTGGAGGCAGGAGGATCATGAACACAAGACTATCCCAGCCTTCATGGCAAGTTCCAGGCTAACCTGGGATGCCTAGGGAGACCTTGTCTGAAAACAATGGAAGTAATACCCAGCTGGGCTGTGGTGGCGCACACTTTTAATCTTAGCACTCCAGAGGCAGGGGCAGATGGATCTCTGTGAGTTCAAGACCAGCCTGGTCTACAGAGTGAGTTCCAGGATAGCCAGGGCTACACAGAGAAACTTTGTCTCCCCTGCAAAAAGGCAAAAAAAAAGTTAATATAATATAAATAGTTATACCTTATTGTTTAGGAGAAAAGAAAAAGTCTATACATATTCAGTAGAGATCCAACTTTTTCTTTTTTAAAGCAAGTTCTCACTATGTGGTTGTGACTGGCCTGGAACTTGCAATGTGGACCAGGATGGATTTCAAGCTTGCTTCTACTTCCCTAGTGATAGGATTAAATATGTGTGCCATTACACACACACACACACACACACACACACACACACACACACACACCCCACAGCTGCCTGATTCTGTAGGTGTAGACTCTCTGGGAATGGAGGATGTACTTGTACCTGGAATTTAGGCCCTCCCTCCCTTCCTTTCCCTCCCTCCCTCCCTCCTTCCTTTCTTATTTTCTCAAGACAGGGTTTCTTTGTGTAGCCCTGGCTATCCTAGAACTCACTCTGTAGACCAGGCTGGTCTTGAACTCACAGAGATCCATGTGCCCCTGCCTCTGGAGTGCTGGGATTAAAAGCATGCATCAGCACTGCCCTGCTAGGACCATCTGTTTCTGATAGTGTAGTTTCTGGGAATCCAAATTCATAAAGCATCAGAACAGAGAATTTTGAGGAAATATGCTGTCCAAGCCTGGAAAATTCTATTCCTGTCCCCACGTCCCTGGAACCAGAAAATTTCTCATCTCTAGATTTCATGTCACTGTTCTTTTGTGTGGAAGTAAATACCACGTATTGCGTTGTGTTGTTCCTTACTCTTTCAGTCTCCGGTCTTAAACTGAACCACCCTGCTCGTGAAGTCCCCCCTCCCCTACAGAGCCTCTAATTAGGATGGCTCCACTCAGCTATGTCGATTGTGACTAGACTGTCCTTCAGAGTGCCGCCTTGCTCTCCTGAGAGAGACATCAAGGGCCACTTGTATGTAGTCATAGGTGACAGTTATTGCCTCTCACAACTCCTTAGTACTCAGTGCTTTACTCCACTGAGTATACGTCCTCACTTCTCTATGTTTATTCTTTTATCTAGAATGTTCTTTCTGGTTTTCTCCTCCACCCCGTCCCCAAATCCTACCCACTCTTTAGGCCAGACTCAACTTCTGTGTCTACACTGAGATAGCCCTTCTCTGGCTCTTCCTCTTTTTTTCTTTTCCCACCTAATTTTTATTTATTATTAGAGTGTGTGTGTGTGTGTGTGTGTGTGTGTGTGTGTGTGTGTGTGTAGGCAGAGGGCAACATTCAGGAGCCAGTTTTCTCCTTCCACCTTTATGTGGGTTCCAGGCTTGTGTAGCAAGCCTGAACTCTGGGCCACCTCATGGGTCCCTCTTCATCCTCATTCTTCCTTGGACTTGGACACTCATGCTGCCTTCTAGTTGAGTATCTTTTCTTTTTTTATCGTGAAGCTGTTTTTCTTGGGTGTGATTCCTTTCTTTTCCTTCTTGAAGACGTCGTGAGTCATCCTACTTTTCAGAGGCCTTCCTCTGTCCCTTACCCCACAGACAGTTCCTTGCTCTCTCTCCTACTTGTACGGTCCTCTCTAGGGCACTGACAAAGGCATGGTTCTGTTTCTGTGCTCTTACTACATTGTAACTCGGATTACTGAGTTACATACAATACACTCAGGGACTGAGTTGTCCCGCTTCCTGTTGTATCCAAAGCACACTGAACAATGGTAGCTGTTACATGGAGGGTGTTTAATACATGTCTTTGGTTAAACTAGTCTCCAAACAAGCTGCTAATACTTCAGTGTCAGGTCCTGTATCTATCCACCGCCTGGTTCTCTCCCATTTCTTCCTGTTAGAATAGAAGCATTACTTTTTTGTGATGGGGAAAGGACTAGGCCCCGGAACAAGGTGAAGTAAATTTCTGGAACCATTGCCAACGTTTCTCTTTTGTGAGGTGGAGAGCTGCAGTGACGGTTGGAAGCACCTCTTCCCACAGGTAGATTTTCAGAAGACTCCCCTGCCTTAGTCACTTAGTGTTCCAGACATCAGCGCTTCCATCCACTTAGGGTGGGGAGCAAGATGGACGAGGCGAGGAAGGACGGGTGACTGCCGGAAGTCAGCGTGGGTACTCTTGGTGTTCTCACCAAGGCAAGGCTTGCAATCCTAAAAGTTTACTAAGGGTGTTTTGTTTCTGAAGCTTCACAGGTGCTAATAGAGGACTTTTAACTCACTTACTTAGGCTCTTAAGGAACCAGTTTTGATATTTCCTGGTAAGTGAATCCATATAGAAGAATGCAGCATAACATTTAAAAAGGTGCGGTAGAGGAAGATTGGATGTAACTTTAGAATACAGTAAGTTTAAAAGAAAAAAAAAGCCAAGTGTAGAGACTATTGGGTCCAGATATTGCTAGCAATCCACGGAGTCTGCTTAAAGGGCATAGGAATTTATTGGAGAAGGAAGACTCACTGTCCAGAAGACAGGAATTATTGCAGGGTCCTGGGAGGCTGAGGCACAGTCCCACGCTGTTCTTTCACCTG